TAAATCAATTTGAATTTAAATAAATAATGATAATTATTATAAACACTAATGAGAACAAATTATAATTACTTAAAAAATTAATAAATAAATATGTATAATTCATAATAAGAAAATCTAAAAAAATAATAATAATATAGAATTACTTAATTGTTTTGATATTAATATTAATAAATAATCACAGATAATTATAATACCAATAGAATTATTGATTATGAATGAGAGATTATAAATTATTATGGTAATAAAAATTATAGTAATTATATAGATAATAATATAATATGAAAATAATACCAATATAATAATAATAAGCTAAGGTCTTCTAGTAGAGTGTTCTCGACCAAGAAGTAGCCTGAACCCTAGGCTAAGCTGCTATACAAACCTCTGTATCCTATTACTTAACTTACGGATATATATTTAACTTACTGTAATAACAGCCTAAGTAGCGCAGATCTACCTAGATCAAATCTTATAGCTAAGAGTAGGTAGATATAAGTACAAGATTCCAAATTTCAGCTTACTTTGTTGCTAGTCTATTATATCACATTGCTGTCACCTACATTCATTGCTATTATGCATCATCCCAATGCCCTCATTGTCCAAGTTCATTAACCTTTCAGCATTATATTATTTAAATCAACTTACCAAATTAATGTGACTATTGTTGCTGCTGCTGCCGCCGCCGCTGCGCAGCAATGGCACCTCCCACGTGTGCTCCTCCAGGTCCAAACCTTCGGCTCTGCTGCCTCTCATTGGATCCAGATTGCCATTGCCACTCCCATTCTCATTGCTGTTGCTGCTGTTGTTGTTGTTGTTGTTGTTGGAGGAGGAGTTATAGTGATATTTGGGATTACCATTTGGCATGTGAGTGCTGTTATTCAGTCTTATATGATTGCTGCTAGGATTGGTATGCTGCTGCTGCGGATGCTGCTGCTGATGCTGCTTATCATCCCCATAGAGTGAAAAACTCTCATCGTAATCGTCATCGTGCATTGTGGGTGCCAACGCGTTGTCAAGTTTTTGATATTTTGACATTGTTGGCGCTTCTGCTTCGGCTGCTTCTGCCTCTTCTTCTTTATATTTCTTGTTTCCACGCGGGAGTTCCTTGTGCAGTGAGCGTGTGCGTGTGTGTAAGCGTGTGCGTGTGTGTGTGTTTCACTTGCTTCGAGCTGTTGGTTCTTTGGGGTTTTGCTTATTATCTACATTGCATTTATCATAATTAGTGGGCGCTTGTCATTCTCCAACCATGTTTTGTCATCATTCGCATCATTATTGCCATCATTATTATCATCATCATTAGTGGCGTTGTTGCTGTTGTCGTTTGCCCGGCGAGTGCTTCATTAGCCGTACTCCAGAGCCCGTCTCCGGCGTGTCTGCGTGTCCCTTAATATATATATTCTCTGTTGCAAAAATGATTCAAGTATATATTTTTGCTTGAGTTTAAAGAAGTTTCTATATGTGGGTGTGTGTGTGTGTGTGCGTGCAGATATGTGTTTGTATATGTGTGCGTGTATTTATGTTCACTTATATTGTGTTTACTCGGTTTTTTATTTCACATTTCATTTCATTTCATATACAAGTATTTGGAGTGCGATTACTTTGTTTATGAATGCCCTTCCGGTTCACGAGAGCTATTTTAGAATACATTAGGTGGGGGATAAACACTGCCAGATACTCTAGCAAAAGAAGTAGATAAGCAGTATAGTATCTAGAGTAGAGTGAGAGAGTATATTTAGACCTATACTATGGTAAATATTATTTATTTACTCATCTACTCATCAAACAAACTAATATACCCCACTAGCATTTGCCGTACAGCTAATACATATATACAAAGCATATGCTCAGCTGGCTTTTAATGAAATTAAATTAATGCCATTTGCTTAAAATCTTACGTACTCAAAGAAAAAACCATTTGAGCATGAAATATTTGGGCTATAGAAATTATAATCGGCAGATCTAAAAAAAAACATAAATTATAGAAGCAAAATCTTTGAAGGCTATAAATAATATGGTATATAGTATACAAATGCACTTTAGATTAAAGAAACTACGCAAAGTCATGAGCTTAGCAAAGCGAAGAATATGAATACCTTATAAAGATCTGTTATTATAAAAAACATTATACGAAACTAGATAGGTTAAAGCAATTTTTGTCTTTGATTATAGGTAAAGCAAAAGTCATCATAAATATAATCATTATCATATGCCAATCCTCAATGGTCACAGTCTTAAAGTGAAAATCTTCTATTATAAATTATATACAAACTAAACTCTGAATGGGCATATGCCCGTTTATACCCTATGAATCTGGGTTGAGCTTTAGTCGACTCTTTTAACTATTCATAATTGTATCTCAATCGCATTTGGGGTTCTTTGCCCTATTATCTTAGCCGAAAACGTTATGTCGTTTACATGTCTTAAGTGCTTCGCCTATGTTTTCATTTCCACATTGTTGTTTTATCTTTTCGTTTGCTTTGCACTCTCATTCGCATATTTATTGTGTGTCGCTTGCCTTTATGTTTGGGCGCTTCGTGTTGAAGATAAGCATTACATTACAATTCCCATGCTGTCGGGGCTATGATTAACTTGTCACCCAGTCAGAGCGAGAGAGTGCGAGTGAGAGACAGAGACAAAGCACATGCTAAAGCAGCGCTGGCAACTAGTGAACAGCAATTAGCACTCGATGTGACACATTTTTTCGTCTTTTCTGACCGCTTCAATCAGTTTTTGAGGCATTTTTTTTTTTTCAGATTAGATAAAATGCTGATAAGACTAAATATTAGATATATATATGTATATATGTATGTATATGCGAGTAAATTAAATTTGTGGCAGGAGCTGCAATATATTTAATGTAAACATCAAATACACTTCAACAACTAGAGTATTATTTATGTATGTACATATGTACATATATACTCAATATATACATATGTACATATATACATAGGTACCGTTGAGACCGTTAATGCCCGCTGAGCATTGATAAAATGTACGTGCGCTTGGCACACTTTTGTTGTTGTTGCTTGTTGTTGTGGAACTACCCCTAACAGCTCCCCGGAACACTTGGCTAGTTCCAGCTACTAGAAAAGTGATTTGAAAAGAATTTATTGTTGACAGCGTGGCTTCCTTTGTGTCTGTGTGTGTGTGTGTTTGTTGTGATTTCATTCCAATTTTGTTTTCATGTGATTTCCATTAATAACAGTTTATTTATGGCTGCATTGCATGCGTCTTTTTGTGACGTCTTTTCTTTTCGATTTTTAGCTAAATTTAGCGATTTTATTTACTTTTACTTGGAGAAGAATTCAAAATTTTAGGCAATTAAAACTGGTTGGCGTTTTCTACAAATATACTAATTAATTTATAACAACAACAACAGTAACTGTGCATTGCAATTGCGTTTTGTGTTTTGCCTGTTCATTGACCTTCGCAACAGGTTTTTGTTGTTGCTTTTTGTTTTTGCTGATGAGCCGCTTTTTCGATATATTATCGAACTAGTTTGCACCAGCTGCTGCAGCCGGTGCTGCTGTTGTTGTTGTTGGTCTTTTAACTGTTATTATTTGTGTTTAGAAGCTGCACTTGAACCGGCGCACGTGAAGCCGGTCGAACGAGAACACGAGACGGAGAGTGATAGAGCGCGAGAGCACGCGCGTCAGCAAGTGCAGGTCAAAGAGAGCGAGCTTACGCGAGAGCAGATGCACGATTAAGCCGTTATCAGAATCAGCGATAAAGCAAACATGTAAATTAAGTTGTCTGCGTCCCTTTTCAGTTCGCACCTTTTACGTGATTGCTGTTTCTCTTACACAAAGCTTTAGCATTGTCAAAGTCCCGCTCTTGTTCCCTTCCTTTCGACAGTTTCGCTGCGTGTTGACAACGTTAATGACGTGTTGCTGTAGGTCCATTCACTATAATGTGTAATGTGTGTGTGTTTTTTCTAGGAAATGCGATTTTAATGGCATTTTATTTATAGTGTTAAATTTACCAAAGTAAGTAATTCAATGGTTATGAAATCAATGTTTATATTTATTTATTGAGTGATTGAACTACCTTTAAACTTCCATTAATATTTCTACTAATTTTTTTTATTTTTTGCAATTTACGTTTTATGTATTTATTTCATTTGCTTTTGTCAAGATCGTTAGCGAGGCGTGGGTATTTTTATTGTATTTGTTTTCCCTTTTCTGTTTTAGCGCTTGTTTGTGTCACCGTTGCAGACGCAGACGCGCTCGTCGCCAGCGACGCATGAACTTCAACTAACGGCAGCGGCGCCAAAGCCACAGAACAAACGACGCGACGACAGCCAAGCGGCTCGAGTGTAAAAACAAAGCGTGTAAGCAAGCGAGCGGGCGAACGAGCGCGAGAGAATGAGAGCGAGTGCGAGCAGAAGAAGCGCGACATTGCGAGTGCGAGTGCGCCGGCAGCTACAACAAATAACTGAGCGTGCCAAATGTAAGTATGTACGTATGTATGCTAGTGTTAATATATCATCTCGCAGCTGGCGTTGAGTGCTATTGGCATCCTCGCACACGCTCTCATCTTTGGGCAGCTGAGTGCGATTGCTTCCATTTTCCATTTGAGTGCTTTTGCGCTCATCTCACTCACTCACTTAAATTGTTGAGGACGGTCTGCTCTGTCAATGGAGATCAGTTCGCCGAGACACCTTGCAGGCGACATTTGTATTTTTGTCTTGCTTTATCTTGTTCTACTCTAGTTGATTGCTTCGTGCGTGTATAATTATCGAAAGGTAAATAAATACTCACGCATTATTATTCATGATCAATTGAATTGGAATGTACAAATGTTTGCATTATCAAATGTGACGAATTAAAGAATGTGCATATGTAAAAATACATAATAATGTATGTATGCATGCGTAGATAGGTACAAACATACATAAATACATATAAAAATAAATAAATAAACAGTGCATACATATATAAAAAAGTTTTTTTTTTGTTTTTGTTTTTGTTATTTTTTTTTTTTTTTTTTTTTTTTT